TGTGTGTGTGTGTGTGTGTGTGTGTGTGTGTGTGTCTCCCCTAAACCTAATCACTACTGAGTGATATAAACAGCCACCTAGAACAGAGACGATCAAGCAAAGAGGTGGAAGACAGATGCCACGTGAAGATCGCCAAGGAACTCCGTGGTTGCAGAAGCTGAAAGAGACAAAGGCCTTCCCCTAGAGCTGACAGAAAGAGACCTCCCTAGAGCTGGTGTCCTGAAGTCAAACTTCCAGCCTTAGGAACTGTGATAAAACACATTTCTGTTCTTTCAAGCCACCCACTTGTGGTATTTCTGTTACAGCAGCACTAGGAAACGAAGCCAGGGAGGCTAGGTTATCCTCACGACTGGGCAGCGTTGCCTCAAGGGACAGACAGCACACGGGCTCTGCAGTACATAGACCAGAGCTGGAATCCAGGCTCCGCCTCTCACTAGCTGTGTGACTTTGGGCAAAGGACTCGACTTCTCTGTACCTCAGTTTTCCCATCTGTCAAATGGGGGTAATAACAGTAATACCACCCACGGGATTAGTAGAGATAATGTATGCAGAGAATGCAAGTTCCCCAGGGGCAGGGATTCCGGCCTTTTTTTCCCTCTGCTATTTCTGTGTGCCTAGAGTAGCGCTTGGCACACAGCAGGGGCTCAGTAAATATAAACGGAGCAAACGAATGAGCCATCTAGAGACAACAGGCGCTGCTGCTTTTTTGTCACTGCTGCTGTCATTTTGATTGACGGCAGGTGGCTTTCTAAGGTCGCACAGCTAGTCAACGCCAATGCCCAGAATTCAGGCTAGGTCTGTTGAGTCCAACCCCACGCTGTTCCCTGCACACAAGGGAAGGCTTTTTAACCAGCTGTGCCTCTACAGTAAGAGATCCCCTCCCTCAAGCAGGTTCAGGCTGTGACAATGTGGGCATGCTAATGAAGGGGGCTGAGATTTGGGGGCTTTGAAGGGAGGTGACTTTCCTCTGAGCTCCGGACTGACTGTGGCTGCTCCCCAGCAGACCAGCACAGGCCTCTCCAGGCAGCATTGCTCACCCTGCCCCCACTTGGTGACCTTCCGCACGAGAGAACTGGACTTGGGCAAGCGATGCACATTTGATCACCCAGATGCCTCCTATAGGGGACAGACTGGCAGGGGCATGGCCTGCCTCAGGGTGTCCGCCTGGGGGCAGGGGGTACACGCACCTAAGGAGGAAGGTCCCCCGCTTCTGGTATGATCTCCTGTCGCTCTTCAGCTCCTCCAGCTTGCCCTCCAGGTGCAGGCCCTGACACTGGCCCTGTGTGCCAGTCCCCAGAGCCATCAATGACACATGGGTCTTCTGGGGCTGCGACATGGACCAGGCTGCCAGCCACTCTGCCCTGGAGGGGGACTGAGGGGCAGCCTCCCACTGCCTGCCAACCCAACCCTGGGAATTACAACCCGAGAAGGGCCACCGGCCTGGGCTGCAGCCTCCACCCACCAGCCCACAGGAGCCCCACTGGCCCGCTGCCACACCAAGCTCCAGGAGGAATGAAGAAGCTGGGCTCCCCGGCTCATGGAGGCTGAGCTTCGTTCCAGAGTGTATGCTGATATGGTTGGGGGCCATTTCAAAGGTAAAGAAACTGAGGCTCAAAGTGGCCTAACTATGGTGCCCAAGGTCACATGCCAAGTTAGCGGCAGTGCTAGGCCATGATGCCCTTTCCCATCCAATCAGGGAGAGAGGGGACCCAGGTGAGTGATTCCGGGTATCTCTGGATGGCAGAGTCCCCAGCACAGTGCACCTGGCTCTTACCCACTCTGCGTGCCCATAGGCTGCAGTTAGGTTCAGCTCCTGCTGGGGGCCCCTCAACCACCAGTGAAGGATCTTTCGGTCCTGGCTGTTCTCTGTGTGGATCTCACTCTTCACAGTTGCATTCCAGATGGACTTGAGTTCATTCTGGCTGTGGAAGAGTCTCCGCTCCAAGGCTGTCACTGTGGAAACCTGCAGTAAGGTGGTAGAAGGGAACCAAGGCCTTTTCATACCCTGTTTCCTCCCCCCTGGGACGCCCTTTCATTTCTTTCCCTCCCAGTGAACTCCTACTCATCCTTTGTGAGGCCTTTCCTGATGGCCCAGGTGGAGCTGGTTGCTCCTCACGGGGCCTTGAGGAACAGGAAAACTCCTCTCCATCTTCCCGGCCCCAGCTCCCTTCTCTCTCTTCCTCCTCTGCTCCTGGAGGGAATATGATCCCGCTGGGCCACTATTACTAGGGGCAGGGTCTCTGTACCCCAGACTGCGCACATGAGCAGATGGCCTCTCTCCCTCACATATGTATCCCTGCTGTGGTCTTCAGAGCCTGGGAAGAGCCCAGGGTGATTTTGGCCTGATTTTGGGGAGGGGGGTATAGAGCACTTGTAGCCTTGTGCTGGACTGTACTCCCAGCCCACTGCCCCTGAGGGTCCTGGGCACAGGCCCAAGGAGCAACATCTGGGGTTTGGGGCCGAGTGGGCTGCTGTTCCTTGTTCACTTGTCTCCTAGGAGCCTCACAGGGGAGGTGACAGGGCCAAGACAGGATTTGGGCATCACTGAGCTTCTAGCCAAATACCAGAATGTCACACCTTGTCTGGAATCTGCTGGCTGCTTGATCTCAGCAAAGGCACTTCCTTCTGCCAGCTGCTTGGGCCCAAACCTTGGAATCAAGTTTGCCTCTCCCCCTGTGCTCCCTCCCACTGCTAATTGATCAGCTCTGCCTTCAAACCAGCTCCTGAATCTGGAACCTTCCCGCCACCTCTGCTGCCACCACCCTGGACAGGACACCATCATCTGGTCTGTCAATGGCAGGAGCTGCTGGCCACCTCCCATGCCCGTCCTGGCTCTGTCTGCCACAAAGCAGCCTCCTTCAGGTCCTGAGCCACAGGCTTCGTTACAATCAGCAGTGGGCATAAAGCTAACCTACGTCCTTGAAATTTTCAGCAACTTACAGCGACTTGTTTCCAAGGTACCGTTAGAACTACATTCAGATTTCATTTCACTTCCCCTCAGCTGCTAAGCAAGAATATGGGAATGTACCTGAGAGAACATGCCCCTCAGAACAATCAATTACACGAGATCAAAGGGGCAGCATTTGCCCAAAAGCAAAGACGAGAAGGCAGGATAGGGTAGAAAATCAGGACAACAGAAAACGGGAAACCTAGGGCGGAAATGGGGAGAGTGCCAACACATTGTGGGGAATGAAACACTGTATGTACAAACTATTGAAAGGGAATCTAATTTGCTCTGTAAACTGCCACCTCACATGCGCAAAAAAAAAAAAAAAAAAAGTGTGGGAATCTAGACTCTTTTACACACACACCCTCCCCCCACCCCGCCAAATTCACTTGGCAGCTAATTCTGATTGTTATGAGCACTAGGTGGGCAGAATGTGCCACACCTGTGGGCTGGCATGGCCCATGGCTCTTGGGCTTCCTCCCTCTACAAGGAAGATGGAAACAGCAAGGCCATCCAGCTCCTGGGCTTGGGTGGCCAGGGCTCCCTGGGGACCCTTCAGCTCTGCCCCACACAGCTCCTTCTGCTGGGATGGTCGTTCCATTCACACGCAGTGGGTGGCTGAGCACCGCTCACCCGGAGGTAGGTGGTCGTCGGGGTGTAGATGTGGATCTTGCCCTCCCTGTTCCGGCCCTGGCTCCTGCAGGCCACGTTCACCACCAGGTTCTTGAGGGCCCAGGCCTTGCCCAGAGTCAGCTCCGGGACAGCCTGGAACACGGCTTGGCCTGGCCAGTGTAGCCTGTGAGCTGCAGAGATCATCAGCCATGGACTCTCCAGGTTCAAGGATCCTGCGAGGGGCAGAGAGGGACAGAAGCCAGTAAGTGGGGCAGGAAGGGCGCCTTCAGCAGGTGATAACTCCCTTTGGTGATGAGCAGTCACAACAGTCTCCTCATGGCCACTGTGGGCATCTCTCAAAGCTGGGAATGGCTGGGATGGGGCATGAAGGAACTTTCTAGAATGATGGTAATATTATGAATCTCAAGAGGGATCTGAGTTACACAGGTATATGCACCTGTCAAAACACATCCAATGGTGCCCTGGAGCCATGTGCATTTCACTCTAGTTAAAGGTAGTGCTGTTAGTTGCCATCAAGTCGTTCCAGACTCTTGGAGACCCCATGTGTGCAGAGCAGAAGTGCTCCACAGAGCTTTCAAGGCTGTGATCTTTCAAAAGCAGAACACCAGGCCTGTCTTCCGAGGCACCTCTGGGTGGGTTCAAACTGCCAATCTTTCAGTTAGTAGTCTCACGCTTAACCATTGATAAAGGTACACATGTGGAAATATCTAGGGGTGAAATATACTGATGTCTACAACCGACTTTGAACTGCAACCAAAAATAAGATGGCTCCAGACTTTCTGGAGCCATGGAGGCTGGATGAACCCCTAAAACTATTGTCCTGAGATAATCTTTAAACCTTAAACCAAAAATATCCCCTGAAGTCTTCTTACAACCAGACAATAGTTTAGTTTAACTAGTAAAAAATGTTTACCTTGAGCATTATGCTCTTTTAAGAACTATCTAGGAGCCCTGGTGGTATAGTGATTAAGAGCTCGGCTGCTAATCAAAAGGTTGGCAGTTCAAATCCACCAGCTGCTCCTTGGAAACCCTATGGAGCAGTTCTACTGTGTCCTATGGGGTCGCTATGAGTCAGAATTGACCCAATGGCAACAGGTTTGGTTCTTTTTGGAAGAGCCAACTATACGGGATCGAAGTGACAACAGCAGCTTGAAAGATTAGACAGGAATCATAGCACGCAGTAAGTTTATGTTAATGGAGGAGGAACAGCTCAGAAAAGGAGGGTAAGGATGGTTGTACAACTTGAAGAAAGTAATCAATGCCACTGAATTTTACATGTAGAAATGGATGAATTGGTGTATGTTTTGCTGTGTACATTCTCAACAACAACAACAAAATAAATTAAAAAAAAATAAGACGGATGGATAGGTAAACAGAGAGGTGATAAAGCAAGTAGAGTAAAATGTTAATGGTAGAATCTAGGTAGAAGGTATGTGGATCTTCACTGTACAATTCATTCAACTTTTCAGTATGTCTGAAATGTTTTCATAATAAAATCTTGGAAAAAAGAACCCGAGGCAAGGGTTAGGAAGAGGCTGGATGAGGGCAGCGTTGTGTGATGATAAAGAGCATGACCATTGCTCTTCCAAGCCGTGTGATCTCTTTGAGCCTTTCCTTCCACCATGATGAACTAAACTAGGTTGCAGAACCCCCCCCTCATATTTTGTGACAACTACTACTACTCATTCAAGGATTAATTCAACAAATATTGCTTGTGGCTCTTGGGATCTGGCAGTAAACAAACAAGCACAGTTGCTGCCTTTTGTAGTCTTGGGGCAGTGGGGAAGACTGTGAACAAATAAACACACAAGTGCACACCCAACTGGAACATGCTGAGTGTTCTGAAGGAAAATAGAGAATTTTATTAAGATCGGGCAGGTCATTGAAGGCTTCTAGGAGGAAATGACCATTTAGCTGAGACGTAAATTACAGATAAGTGGTAGTCAAAGTGGAAGGCAACCCTTACCAGAGATGAGAGATTTACTGTCTGGGGAAACTGAGGCAGGGAAGCTGGGAGGCAGGGGCACCAGGCACAGCAAGGGCAGGGGGTGATCTGCCAAGCTGAAAACAGGGAGATGCTGAATAGGGAGTAGGCCAGTGCTCTCCCCATTGCTATGCCTCCTGGCAGGAGATGGGAAGATTGCTCCATAGAAGAATGGAATAACTAGAAAGAAAAGGTCCACAGATGCAGACCCTGGGAGCCCCAGTGAGAGTCAAGTCCCCACTGTTATGAATTGAATTGTGTTCCCCCAAAATATATGTTGGAATCTTAACCCCTATACCTATAGATGTGATAAAAATATAATGTAATCATCTTCCATAATGCAATCTAACCTAATGTAATTAATAGATCAGTTGTGGTCATACTAGTGTGAGGTAGGTCCTAAACCTCATCAATTCTGAGTTATATAAAGAACAGCACAGACAAGAGAGACAAGCAAGCACAAACCTGGAAGACAGATGCCATATGAGGAGCACCAAGGAACACCTGGGGCTACCAACAAGGAAGCACTCGACATGGCCAAGACCTTCATTTAGACTTTTAGCCTCCAAGACTTTGAGAAAATTAATTTCTGTTCTTTAAAGTCACCCACTTGTGGTATTTGTGTTACAACAGCACTAGGGAACTAAGACACCACCAGGGGCGTATCACCCAATAAGCAAGGTACGCACATGCTTAGGGCATCAGCAAAACACGGGCATCAGTTGTCCAAAGCAAGACCCATAGATGGCAAGCAGACAGGACACAAGGAAAAGTGAGCACTGCAGTGGAACGGAACTGGCAGGGCAGTAAATGCAACTGATACCAGCTCCAGTGTGTGAGAACGTGCCGGCCGGAGGTAAAATTCACGCAGGGTCACGAGGGCGCACACGTGCAAGGTTGTTTCAGCTATGAGGCTCCTACCACTTCAACAACTTCACTGACATCTGTTGCCTACCACCCCTCCCCCGCCCCCTGTATAACTGAAGCTCCTTATCTCAGTGGGTCTCTTGGAGGTATACTACTTCTTTCGAATAAACAAGAGGTGAGGGTGTGCTGTCAAGTCTAACTCTTGCTACATTTACCCACTAAAAATTTTATAATCCAATTCATCTCATTCTGCTAAAATCGCATACGCCACTTTTGTATTCAATCTCTAATATTATAGTTGCATTTAGAAACAAGTTACATCATGGATAGCTAAGACACACATCCACACGTATATATGTACACACGTATATATATATATATCTCACATATCCCGTTCAAATGCATGAGTAAGCAGAGGAGGGGGCACCACAGATTATCAGTGTTTAAGGCCCTCACATGCCTTAATCCAGTCCTGGACACCACCCAGTGGCTCAAAAGGGAAGCCTAGCAGTCAACAAGTACACCCTACCCCCAACTAACATACACGTAGCGACTCCTTCCAAATAAGTTTTGAGTAGCTCACTCTTCAACCTGAGCACAGATCCAAGAATCTCCTGACATCTGGGGAAAGCCTCAAACAGGAAAGACAGAAACAAAAAGAAAGAAAATCAGAGGGATCAAATAAAATCCTGCATACTCCATAATTTATACTCCCAGAGAAGACACTGCATTCATGAAATTGGATACTATAAAAAAAAGGAACTTTCCGAAACAAAAGAGTTCTTAGACATATACAATAGCCAAAATAAAAATGTCAGTAGAAGGGTTGGCCGATGAGATTGAGGAAATCGGCCCTCGAAATAGAACAAAGGGACAATGAGATGGAACAAAGGAGAGAAAAGATAAGAAAATTAGAGGCTCAGTTTCTGAGGACCAACATCTGACTAAGAAGAATTCTGGAAAAGAGAGGGAAGGAAATGTCTTAGTTAACTTGTGCAGCTGTAACAGAAATAACACAAGTGGATGGCTTCAACAAGCAGAAGTTTATTCTCTCACAGTCTAGTAGGCTAGACTTCCAAATTCAGGTTGTCAGCTCCAGAGGAAGGCTTTCTCTCTCTGTTGGCTCTCGAGGAAGGTCCTTGTCATCAATCTTCCCCTGGACTAGGAGCGTCTCAGCGCATCAGCGCAGGAACCCCGGGTCAAAAGGACGCACTCTGCTCCTGGTGCTGCTTTCTTAGAGGTATGAGTTCCCCCCACTCTCTGCTGGCTTTCCTTTCGTTTTATCGTTTGTAAGATAAAAGGTGGTGCAGGCCACACCGCAGGGAAACTCCCTTTACATTGGATCAGGGATGTGACCTGAGCAAGGGTGCTACATCCCACCCTAATCCTCTTTAACATAATCTAATCTTACGTCATTAACTACAGGCAGAGACTAGGATTTATAACACATAGGAAAATTGTATCAATCAAAAAATGGAGGACAACCACACAATACTGGGAGTCATGGCCTAACCAAGCTGACACATATTTTTGTGGGACATAATTCAATCCATGACAGGAAATTATCAAAGAAATTGTACAAGAAAATTTCCCAGACCTGAAGGATGTGTTTCCAAACTGAAAGGGCTTTTGCTAAGTGCCCGGTGCAATGGACGAACATAGAACCACAGCAAGGCCATCATCATGAGATTTTAGGTACCAGGAATAAAGAGAAGCTCCCAAAAGCTTCCATAAAGTGAGAAAATGGTCACATACAAAGGATCATGAATCAGAAATAGCATCAGACCTCTCAACTAATTCTAAATGACAGTGGAACTACACCTTCAAAATCCCAAGGGAAAATTATTTCCAACCTACTATTCTCTACTCAAATTATCCAGGTAAAATGAAGATGTCTGAAACATTCAAAACCCATTTCCATGGAGTCGGTTCTGACTCGCAGAGACTCTACAGGACACAGCAGAACTGCCCCATACGGTTTCCAAGGCTGCTGTATATCTTTACAGAAGCAGACTACCATATCTTTCTCCCATGGAGCTGCTGGTGAGTTTGAGCCATGGACCTTTCAGTTAGCAGCCAAGCACTTAACCACTGCACCACCAGGGCTCCTTTTAAACATTCAGGGGCTCTCAAAATATTTACCTTCCATTTGTCCTATTTCAGGAAGCTACTAAAGAATGTGCTCCATCAGAACAAAGGAGTAAACCAAGAAAGAAGATGACATGGGATGCAAGAAACAGGGGCTATGACCCAGAAGTGGAAGAAATTCCCAGGGTGACAATGAAGGGAGGACCACATCCGTTCCACTAGTCAACATTACAGCAGGAGGACAGAAGCTCTAGGGAGAGTCCCCAAGAAAAATATCATAACTATTTGAAGCCAATAAATTATTTGATGTGTTTGTCTGAAGAGTTTTTTTATGTTGCAGAAAATTCTGGAAATAATTAATAGGAGGAAAATAGAAAACCAATCGAATGGGGGGGGCAATTATAACTCCAGGAAAAACAAAAAGTTGCAATCATAGTACGCACGTGTCTCAGCTACAAAGAACACTTATAGAGTCATAATTATGTAAATATTGAATACTGATTTAATAAAATGCAACTCTTTTAGGAGGATGGAGGGAAAGAGACCTTTGAAAAGGACTGGTATAAGAAATCCCTAGTAAGAAATCTATGGAGAATGGGTAAAACAGAAAAATCAAGAAATAGCAGGATGATTGTATTATTTTCAAAGATAGAGGGTAAAAGAAGAAAATCTCAAAGAATTTATACTGATTGCTTGGTAAGTAAGACTTGAGGCAGGAAGACATGTGGCAGAAAATTACTGTTTTGTTATAAACTATTTAAAAAACATTTTTTTTAAATTTCAAGTATATACAGATATAGAGAGCATAATATAATGAACAGCCGAACGACAATCACCCAGCTCCAACAATAACCAATTCATTGTCTAATTCACTTTTTAAATGATGGGCATGTATTACTTTGATTAAAAAATTAATTCAAAGAAGAAATTATAGTAAATTCGTTTCTAAAAAGTAAGGAAAAGAATGTTTCAGGGAGAACGGCAGCAAGGACTAAGGGCCTCTCAAAACGTTTACCTCTCATGTACCCTCTCCCAGGAAGCTATGCAGGATGTACTCCATCAGAACAAAGGAGTAAACCAAGACAGGGAACAATTTATCACGCCTGGGAAACACAAAAGAGGTCAGTGTGGCTGCAGCACAATGGGCAACTAGAAGAGTGGGGATGAGAGAAGATCAGAGAGGTAGGCAGGGGCTAGACTGTGTTGAGCTTTACAGGTCAGGGTAAAAAGTCTGGCTGTAATTCTAAGTGTCATGGGACACAAAGGACGTAGCCAGGCAAAACAAAAGGAAAGGGGTTCTAGGTGGTGGGCACGGCTTGAACAAAGGCCTGGAGGCCAGATGATCTGAACCACTAGCAAAGGAAGCTCCACAGTCAACACTCACCTTCCCACTTCCACAGGGTGGCCTGGGATGTGTCCTTCCACTGCAAGCCGGCCACAAAGGGCAGCCGCCCACTGTACTGCACCTTCAGGTGTGTGCTGCTCTCCACATGGGGCTGGCGGAGGCTTGAGTGGTATAGCTGTGTCCGGTAATCCACCTGCCACTGGGGCACCTGCAGCACAGACTGGAGAAATTCCACATCCAAGATGCGAATCGGATCATGCCACTCCCGGCCTAGAATGTTCCAGTGGCTCTTCACTATAGCAACGGAGCTAGGCTGTCAGGATCTGCTCCTACTCCACCACCCTAGCCATAGCTCCTGTCATTCTGCATCTTACCTGTTACCCTCTACATACACAGGTGAAAAAGTAAAAAATATCTTGGACAGAAAAGTAAAAATCTGTCCAGCCATTCATCAGACTGGTATAGCAGACACAGATAAAGCCTGGAATTCCATATTGTGACATCTGCCCCTGAGACCTCCCCACACATGTGTCTATGGAGGCACATACGCAGCTGTTCAGACATGCACTGTTAAAAACTACCAAGAGGGAAATGGACAAATAAAATGTGGGAGAGCCACACATGGAACACTACACACACAGTTAAAAGAATAGAGTAAGGGCCACATAAACCAGAGACTCCATCAGCCTGGGACCAGAAGAACTAGATGGTGCCCAGCTACCACCAATGACC